AATTAACTTTCAGCACAGTGATAGTACTTGGCATATCCATTGGATCCCCCAAGTTTCATACACATAGCTGAAATTTTCTGTTTTGCAGTTGTTCATAACTCCAACAGCACCTTATACTGGCTTGGCCATTGCCAAGAAGCTCATCATTTCTATTTCCAACTTTAAACTACTCAACAAGGTGGCCTTCATTACAGTTTATAAAGCATTCTCCAACAACATATCCATATCTTACCTCCTCTCTGTCCTTCAAGAAAAAGCCATGTCCCACCTGATTTAAGTGGATAGTTTTTACATGTATGCTGTGCTGCTCACATTATCAACCTCATAGTCAAGTGTTGGTACATGAATGTGACATGTACATAATCCTCGGCCAAGTAGCCTGTCACAAGTGCTTTGTACATAGTATTTAAGTTAATTATAGATGAAGTAATGAAAATCATTATTCCTGTTGAGCTCATCCTACAACAATGAGCCTCTTTCAAGAGTGCTTGACTTAACTTTTCTTAATCTAGAAAATCACTATTAGTACCCAACAAGCCCTGTAGTCTTCTTTGAAGACGAGCCAGACCGTTGTAGTCCTGCCAGCGGACAAGTCAGTAGTCGACTGGGGAACCCCTTTTTTTTCTCCGATATCCTCCCAGCACACTCTATCCATCAAACTCAACTTCTTTGACCGTTTAACACCCACTGTAAATTCCCCCTAAGAGCATGAGTCTATAGTGATAGTTTTCATTCATCCAAACCACTCTGAAGTTTGTGGTGCGCGCCTTGCAAGTGCATAAATTGGGCTGATCACCCATAACTACATTGGACTGAGCAGAGGATTGTTTGTTTGCTTGAAACTTTGACCATCCGGCTGCAAGGAGGGTGTTTGGGTGGACTTCGACTCCCCTCTGGTTTTTCCCTTCCTTCAACCATTCCCTTCTCTTCCGTTTTTTTCCCTCAAAAACACTTCCACCCCCCACCCCCAATCATCCAAACTTTGCCCATGCCAGACCCCATATTCCCCAACAAACGGGAAAATCCCACAATTTGTGACTCAACCATGACACATCGGCTGACTCCACACACTCAGCCCAAAAGGGCACACCTTCTACCCACAAGAGTGGCGGCGTCCAAAAGCCCCTTCTACAACTCATCTGGTCAAACTGTCCCTGAAGTCAACAAGCGAGAAATTCTTCAACTCACAAAAGGAAAATCTTGTGACCCTACTCGCTCCAATGACACACCCCAAGAAACAACATACCAGCCTAGAATAACAAACAAGACTGGTACCGGGTCTTTGTCTGACAACTGGTGCAGACACAACAACTCTCCTCACCAAACAAACATGTCGGATTTTGCTTTACTCATTGCCAAGATTTGCGCACAACAGGAAGCTGAACAACTCCGCCGTGATAGAAAAGATGCAAGGGAAAGCAGGAAAGTGATAAATCTCAAAAATATTGAATTGAAATCATTACCTTCAGTGGATGTTCAAACTTGGTGGAAATACATCTATCCAATGATTTAATCTGTGTTCCTTACAAGGAAGACTCTATCAATATTTCAATGGTCAATGCTAATTATACACACTTCCCAATAAAGGACAAGGGGAAAAATTGGAGGCAATGTACAACTTCCTCCATATCTTCAACCCTGGTGGGTGGCATTTGAACTTCTAAAATTGCTTGTGTATAATTTGCAATCCAATATAGATAAATTAATATTGGGGTATTCAACATTCGACCCATACAGATTTAAGGTACAACCCATTGGATTTCCCCATAGTTCTGGGGGTGTGTTTCACCTTCAAAACCGGCATTGCAGGGTCATGGTTCAAATTATTGAAAATTTGGATTATTTTTCATTAATTTGCAAAAGCTATCAGGACACCCTGGAAGAGCCAAGACACTTGCACTAGTCCAACGTTTTCTCACCTGGCCATCAATGAAGAGCTTCTTTAACTTCTATGTGGACAGCTGTGATTCTTGCCAGCAAGTGAAGTCACCCAAAAACTGCTAGTAACACTTGAACCATTACCAATCCCTGCCGGACACTGGATGGATATCAGCTATGACATGATCACAGATCTCCCAATTCCGAACCGCTA